GTTTATAATATAATTGACCTTTCTACTTGCCAATACATGTACTGCTGTTTTAATTTGTAATGAGATTTTATTTAGGACAAAGTTTGTGAAACGTCTCCTTACTATTTTACTGATTTAGCAAGAAGCAGATTTCCCCACCCCCTCTTGGATGTGGGCCATTTCTGGTCTTTTCAGCTGGTCTGAATTTGAAGAAAAGGATTCAGGAATAATCCAGGCTGAAGGTAGATAAAAAGCTCCAAACGAAGCGTATTCCAACGGATTCACCCTTATACTTCCTCAGCTGAGACCGTCCAAAACTTGTCCTATTAATCCACAATCGTCCCGTGGTCCAAACAGGTCCTGTTCGTTACATCCACACACGAGTAGTGGTCCCCAACAGCAGAGGTCTTACAAAGACGTCAGTTTTTATAGCCTGAGGTTTTGACTGACACTTCCAACAGGATCATGCCACTGATCAAACCCAACCCCTTTTTGGGCTGAGCTTAGGTCCGAATTACAGGCTTCTATGAGGATTTTGCTCTCTCATTCCTCATGTATATTAAAATCTGGGTGTAACTCCTTAGAATAGGCATAGTCATTCTGAGTTGCATTTCTCTGGTGTACATCAGAGTTATTTTCAAGGTCCGTTACTGTGAAATACTTCTGTTTGTGTAACTTTTTCCACTCACAAAACCCTTCTGGAACATTCGTGAGAACACGGTGTTCATTCCTTAAATTTTCAACATCATGAACAAACTTAAACAGAATACATTAACCAGAATACATTCAAAATCACAAAGTTTATATTTTAAAATCACAAAGTTTATAGTATCACTTGATTATCTATTTGTTTGTTGATTATTATAAACACATCTTTATCATATCATCAAAAGTAGACAATAATGTGAACCATTCAGTTATAAGTTGTGACAATAGTATTTTTCTTAATGGAACTGACAAAGAAGAAATAATGAATGTTGTAAAAAATCTTACAGATAAGAGATCAAAAGACTGGGTGGACATGGATATGATGTTTGTAAAGGACATAATGAGTTATGTTATTGAGCCATTTACATATATTTGAAATTTATCATTTTCAAAAGGAATATTTTCAGACAATATGAAAGTAGCTAAGGTAGTTCCTCTCTTTAAAAATGGTGATAAATGTATGTTCAATAATTATAGACCAATATCCTTATTACCACAATTCTCAAAAATTATAGAAAAACTATTTGTGACCAGATTAGATAAATTTATTACTAAACAAAACATTCTAAGTAGCAGTCAGTATGGGTTTAGAGCAAAAAAACTCTACATCAATGGCTCTCATGGAAATAATAGCACAAATAACTACTGCTGTAGATCAAAAACAGTATTGTGTCAGTATTTTTGTTGACTTAAAAAAAGCATTCGATACTATTGACCACACTATTCTCCTTGAAAAATTAAATAAATATGGTATAAGATGACCAGCATTACACTGGGTATCTAGCTATTTAAAAGATAGGAAACAGTTTGTACAAATAAATGGTGTAAGATCTGACCTGTGCAATATCATTTGTGGAGTTCCTCAAGGCTCTGTACTTGGACCAAAGTTATTTGTTTTATATACGAATGATTTAGTGAATGTATCAGGACTCCTCAAATGTGTCCTTTTTACAGATGACACCACATTTTTTTGTTTGGGTAAAGATGTAAAACGGATGTTGGAATTGATGAAGACAGAATTTGATAAAATACAAACTTGGTTTAAACTTAATAAATTATCATTAAATTTAGATAATGATATTTAGTAACGAAAAAAGAACTGTTGATGATCCATTTAAAATTGAGGGTGTTGAGATTTGTAGAACGGGCAGCACGGTGGCGCAACTGGTAGAGCTGCTGCCTCTCAGCGAGCAGGTCCTTGGTTCAAACCCTGGTCCAGGGGCCTTTCTGGGTGGAGTTTGCATGTTCTCTCCGTGCATGCGTGAGTTTTCTCCGGGTGCTCCGGTTTCCTCCCACAGACCAAAAACATGCATGTTAGGCTAATTGGTAACTCTAAATTGTCCCTAGGTGTGAGTGAGAGAGTGAATGGTTGTTTGTGTTGTTTGTCTCTATGTGGCCCTGTGATGGACTTGCGACCCGTCCAGGGTGTACCCCGCCCCTCGCACAGTGATTGCTGGACATGGGCACCAGCGACCCCCGTGACCCAAAATGGAATAAGCGGGTAAAGATAATGGATGGATGGATGGAGATTTGTAGAGTTTTGGGTGTAATCATTGATGAACAGCTAACATGGAAAAATCACATAAATTCTGTAAGAACAAAAATAGCTAAATCTATTGCAGTACTATACAAAGTCAGGGAATTATTAAATGATAAAGCTCTGTACATGTTGTATAACACAGTCATTGTTCCACATTTAATCTATTGCATTGATGTTTGGGGGAAAGCGTGGAAAACATTTACAAAACCTATTTTTATTTTACAGAAAAGAGCTGTAAGAATTATCACCGGAAAGCATTACAGTCACCCATCAAGCACATTATTTTATTAACTGAAGTTATTGAAGTTCCATGATTTGGTAGATTATAGTATTTTATCAGTTATGTATAGGGCTCAAAATAACACATTACCATTAAATATTTAAAGAAATTTTGTTAAAAGACAAAGTTGCTATAATCTTAAGGGGATAGAGATATTTGTAAAACCAAAATTCAGAACTAGTCTGAAGGGAAGGTCTACCTCAATCCAAGGAGTTGGATTGTAGAATGGTCTAGAGAGTGATGTTAAAAATGTCAAGTCAATGTGTACATTTAAGAAAAAGATCAAAGCTGAATTGTTAAAAAAGTATATGAAGTAGCTTAGTGTGTGTTTTGTATTAGAATTAGAAAAATTAGTTATTAATTTTGTTCTGTTACTTGAAAATTATTATGATTGAAATAATTGTTTGAAAAAAGGGGCAGATATAATATGATTTTTTTCTTCTTTCTGCTGCCTTTCATTTTAAATCTTTTGTATCTTTTTTATATTGTTATGGAATTGTTTTGTACTTTTTTAAAATGAATAAACTTTATACCATACCATCATTCATCTGAAAACTGGCAATTTTTATTAAAAAGAAAAGTCATCTTTTGCTCCTCTGTGCCTCTCTGTCCGCGTGTGTGTCCAAGCGTGACTGCATGTGTGTGTCTGTGTAGTGTGTGTGTTATATTCATGAGTGTTTATGCAGTGTGTGCCTCCAGCATCTGCTTTTGATCAGTTACTCAGGCCTGCGGAGAGGCACACAGGCACGAGTCGTGCCTGCTTCTTAATGACCAGATGCCTGCTCTTTAAGGAACAGACTGTTTTCACCAAATGGCCTTCAGGGCACTCACCAGCATGGGCATAGATAGCTCCACAGTTCCTGCACTGATTGTTGAAATGCTGTTCAGCTGACCATCTGTGGTTCCTCTGATACTTCTCATGAGCTCTCTGATCCACTTTGACTGTAGCTGCAGCACCTTTTTCGGTGTCACCAGCTTGCATTTCTGACAATTCAAGTGTTTGCCCAAGGTTAAGAAGCTCCTCCAAATTTAATTTTTCCTCCATCGATGCTTTCCTTCGCAATTTAGCTGATGCACAGCTGTGTATGATCTTTGTTTTGATTTCAGTTTCCACATCTGCAAAGTCACAAATCTTTGCCAGCATTCTCAGTCTGGTGTGATAACCGTCCACATTTTCTTCAGGTTCTTGTGTTGCTTTTCTGAACATATTTGATATTGGAAGTTTTTCTTAGGAGAGAAATACGTGGTTAACTTTGTGTCAGCATATTTGTCATCTTCTGCTGCTACGGTGTCATAAATCTCATGCACTCTCTCCAGCAAGATGTAATAATAGTACTTTAAGTCTTGCATCTCCCGATATGTTCATGGCAGTGGTGTAATTTTCAAACCTTTGCAGCCATTTATTCCAGCGCGGTCCCACAGAGCCCGGATCAGTTTCTGTGTCGAAGCACGGGAGAGCAGCCATGGGCGCCATGCTTGGAAGTCCGTTGCTATCGTTAGTGTAGCTTAGCTTCTGAGAGGTTATGACTTACCCTTTTCTTCTTTAAAGGAACTTCAGCACTGACATGCTATGCATCCAAATTTACTCCTTGTCGCCAATGTAGTGCTTCTTAAGCTCATAAGAAAACAACCTAGCTGGGAACACAACATAAACTTTATTGCTGACTGCAGCACTCAAATACATGCGTCCATTTTATTATTCATCTGGAGATTCTCCAATTCCCAAAGTGTCCACTAGGTAGCGGAGTTTTCAAACAACACACAACAGAACTGGGAATATTACACCGATGTAAGACTGATCACAGCCCTCCTGACACTGAACAGCATACACAATATGACTCGTTTGTGCCGGGGGACTGGATCTTTGGGATGAACCAGTCTTTGCTGTAATGTATTTTGGGGTTTAAAAGCCACTGGGACGTTGTGTTTAGAAAATAAACGTCTCAGTTTCTCTGATACTCCCTCAACATACGGAATGACCACTGGTCTGGGTTCTTCCTTTTCACCTGATGGCTGACTGGAGTCCTATTTGGGTTTCTTCTCTGCTTTCAGGAAGGCCCAGTTAGGATATCCACTAGAGCCTGTCTTGTGTGGGATTTCTCCTTCTGCCTGGCTCCTGAGTTAGTGGGGACGTTGTCTGCTCTGTAGTAGAGTCCTGATGACTCCTAACTTGTGCTCCAAAGAGTGATGGGAGTCCATCTTATTCTACACATTTCTGCTTTTTATTTTCCTGCTTTCAGCTTGCTGATCAAATTCAGCTCCTATTAATAGTTCAGCGATTACCTGGTTTCTCTCTCAGTAAAAATTATTCAGCATTAAGCATTCACATTGCATTTTATCCATTTGTGTTTGGTTTTGATGTTATAATGTTGATGGATGTAGGAACTCCAGGCAGTAGATGTTTCAACACTGCAGAACATCTTTAGAAATAAGTTTAAATGATTGGAAAGTTGAAGACAAACACAGATTTGTTGTTCATTATTTATTTACCATCTTCAGTATTCACAACATTATATATAATTTAACGTAAGAACAAAGTGAGCCTGACGTGTTGGCATGAAGGACAGAGACTGAATCCTGGTGATCTGAAACTAATCTGTGGTTTAACTTGAAGGGATGCATCACTGAGGAGCCCGCTGCCTTCCTCCAGACTGGACTCATGGAGCCTGGGTAGTTCCTAAACCCACAGCGTTAGCGTAAGCGGACAGCAGACTGACCACCTGCCTGGTCTCCAGAGTGAGTCTGGCTTCAGTCAGCCAGTCCTCCACCACCCTCCGGGCCTCGCCCTGCAACTGGTTCACCAGTTTAGCTGCCAACTCCAGGTCTCCGTGCTCCAGACTGTAGCTTGCGTATGACAGCAGTTTAAAGGGGTCTAAATCCTCCTTGCTCAGCTGAGTGGGCGGAGCCTCCTGTTGATGCTCAAACAGCAGTGCGGCCTGAAGGTAGGACAGGAAGTATTGGTACAGAGAGTTGTGGGACTCGTCTATGAGAGCAACCTTGCGGGTAAGCGATCGCAGGGAGTTGAAGCGAGCTCGGAGAGAAGCCTCACTGTACACGCCGCGCTGCAAAGACTCCTCGGGCAGAGCGGACGCCAGAGCCGAGGCAAAGTCGTTCTCGCCGCAGCTGGCTTTCACAGCCTGAGCGGTGGCGTCCAACGGCGTGCTGGGCGAATCGGCGCCGGCTGTTTTCAAGGTGTAGCTGAGAGCTTCTACAGAGAGCCACAGCTGGTGAGCTCTACGAGCCTCCTCCTCAGCTACCACATGGCCTGGATTCACACAGAGACAATCACCAGAGCAAACATGAGTAAATCATCAGCTCGCTCCAACGTCCTGCTCTGATATCAACACATGAAGATAATCTACTTCAAAGACCACATTCAGTAGCATGAATTTACACTAAAGGGTGCTTAGTAAGTATGCGGTACATAAATTATACTTTCCCTGTGCATACCCTGAGGGGGGATTTAGCTCAAATCTTTCTGTGTGAACTTTACATATTTCTCTAGGTGCTCCGTTTCCCCTCCCATAGCTGAAAAACCTGCCCACCAGGTTCATTAGTAATTATGAGCTGACTATAGAAGTGAATATAAGTATTTGATTGTCTGGAGTGTCTTTGTGTTGGCCTAGGGATGGACTGATGACCTGTCCAGGTGTATGCAGTCCTCTGTACATGCAGTGTTTAATACCAAATGAATGAAGTTTGCTTACTGTCGATGGCCTCCTCCATCCCCTTCAGCCTTGCATAGGCAGCATTCATGTCCAGAGTGAAGTTATCCAGCTGTTCATGAGTCATCTGGCGGTATCGCGTCTCCTGTTCCAGCATCTTACTGCTCAGAACCTGAAAATGATCAGAATGTTGCAAGAGAACAAGCATCATGAGGCAGCTGATTTATGCAGCAGAGTGTGAAATCTAATCAAAAAGTGAATAAAAATTTATTGTGCAGTGATTTACTAATCCCAAAAGAAAATTTTGTTCAAGTGTATTATAGAAATGTTCTTTTTTAAAATCAAAATAAGAAGTAAAACCCAAATTAAAAACAAAGACAAATAATAATAATAAAAAATGTTAAAAAGGTTATTTAAACAGACAAATCTCAGTTCTTATAGAGACATTTTGTTGTTTGGTCTAAATGTGAACAAAGTATGCTACATTTTTTAATTTTCACATTATTCTATCTTTAAAAGATTTTAACTAAATAAAGGTTGGACTAATATTAAATAAATGAATTGTGTCTAGTGTGTGGTGCAGCGTGTAGACCTGTTCAGCGTCAGCTTTCAGCTCCTGCTCCTGGACTTTAAGAACATCCCGAACATGGTCTGTGTGTGCAGCTGCCTGACGGCGAAGCTGAGTTCTCATCTCAGACTCCATCACTTCCCTTAGCTCAGTGGCCTACAAACACATTTAGAACCAGATACATACCAGGTTCAGTGTGTAGTCAGTAAGTACCAAGTATGCAGCAGTATTGAGGCATGAAGCCAATAAGTACTAGGTATAGACAATAGGTAATAGGTGCATGGGCGGCAAGTATCAGACACGAAGGCAGAATGTACCAGATACGTAGCTGGTAAGTATAAGGTATGCAGTCAGTAAGTACCACATATGTGGCCAGTAAGGACCAGATACATTACCGGTAATTACCAGACACATAGTCAGAGTTTCTTTATTGTCATTCGCACCTCATGTGGTACATGTGGTGGAGCGAAATTATGTACACAGGGTCCCAGTTACATCCAACAATAAAATGTATAAGAAAAACAGTAATAACATCTAAGATATTGATATAATAATGATTATTTTTATGCTTTTATGTCAATTTATACTCAACTTATTATGTCAATTTATACTCAACTTATATGATTTAAACTGTAATAAACTAGGCGTTGTGCTGGGAGAGTGATGTACCCTAAGGAATGCAGTGTTAAACCTCTGGGAGTGTTCTAGCTGGAAGATTTGGCCCGTCTTGTAGTTACAGCACCCAGAGTTCCCTGTAAACATGTTTTTCTTCATCAGGGTCACACACAACGGCCTTGGTCTTGCAAAGCATGTTTTTAGGAGTCGTCGCCCTGCAGCACAGCTGCCTTGGTAACTGGTAAACATGTTTTGCTCTGCTCATACGCGGTCCAGCGGGGGGGTGGGGGGGTGGGCGGAATCTGCTGGTGATCTTGATCTGATGCCCAGCTAATTGATGTTACCTTTCTACTTGGACTGAGGGCTCTCCAGTCGGTGTCACGGTGAGGGGCTTTACATCAATGTTTGATTTGTACTGAATGTACTTGTGCTTTGCTGTATCTGTGGCGGTTTAATAAATGACACTATTATTCTAGCAGAAACAGCCTGTGAGTGTTTATTCATTGCTCCGATCATTCCCCGAACCTGTACTTTGATTAAGATAATTTCATAAAACATTTTTTGGCGTCACGAACAGGATATCGGAGGAGGGACTGAGCAATGTTTAAAACAAAAAAGGAAAAAGAGATTAAAATTGAAGAAGAAGTTGTACCGGGATGGGGGGAAACCCCGTTCCAGTTGTTAGCGTCGTGTTTGAGAGGTGGAGGGGGGCACCCCGAGCCTTGGAACGATTCTCTGAAAGCAGATAGACCGGGCGATGTTTTGACCGTTTTGCAGGCAATAGAGGTCAGAAAGAAAGTGCCAGTGACAGGGCTATATGGGTGTGTGCAACTGCTTGGAAAATAATGCATGAGGAGAATCAGGCAAAAATAACACAAGCATTGAATCAGAAGCAGGCGCTCAAGGAGGCGCAAGCTGAGAATTTGTTGCAGGAAAAACATGTACAGCTGCTGACTGCGCAGCTGAACAGAATGACTGATGTGGCTTTTGTTGCTCATTTGAGAACCGGATGGGATCCGTCGAGTTGGGACGGTAACATCTGGGGAGACGAGGAGGTTGCTTACTTGTCTAAAATATATAAACAACAGACTGCACAACTCACAGATGCTTGGGTAGCTAGGCTGTTGGATAAAGGTGGAGGTCAGGTAGGAGTGAATTCAGCATACCGACAGGAAGTCAAGAGCTTTGCAAGACTCGAGACCTTTGTTTGAAGTTTATGCAGAGGCAGTCCGACAGATGTTTCCTGGAGCATCGGATTGGCCTGATTTACAGGGGCATTGGGTGATCTTAGGGGAATGTGTGCAGAGATTGGTTCGACTGTGTGTAAGGAATGCGCTGGCTGTGGGTTTGGCAGCAGATTATTAGTGAGGTCCTTGCTCAGGTGTTTGTCATTGTCACACAGGGCGTGGCGGTGCAATGAGCTGTTGCTGAGAACTAGGAAAAACTGTGCGTGAGTATTATGATAAAACTTTGGTAAGTCCGTATTTATTTATATAAAAACTGTTTAATTAAATATAAGATCATTAAGAAAGTCCTAAAATATTACTAACAAACTTTTTTGATTCAATCAAACAAACTGGACGAGGAGACCATAGAAAGCCTGGAATTGTTTGTTGACGAGTGTTTTGACAGCTTGGTCATGGGTAAGCCTAAAGATACATCCGGTGCTGCTAGCAATTCAGCTAACATCCCCAATGCTAAGCGACATCGACAGGGCAGCTCAGACAGCGTTACGGCACCGTCTCCTGATGATTCAGGTTTAAAGGAGATATTAGAGTCAATTGACCAGAAGCTAACTAGCTTGGACGCCCGACTAGCATTAGTAGAGATGCTACATAAAGAGTTTCAAGGCCTCAGGGAGTCTTTGGAATTCAGCCAACAGCAGGTAGCATCACTTGCTAGTGAAAATCAGGAGCTGAGAGGGACAGTGAAACAACTCACCGAGGAGATGACGCTGCTATCCGGGGATAATAAAAAAATCAAAGAATCGATCCTGGATATCCAAGCCCGGAGCATGCGGGACAACCTCGTCTTCTCGGGAATACCGGAGCGAGCGGACGAGGTCCCTGAGGCCTCCGTCCGTGACTCCATTCAGAACCAGCTGAAGTTGCAGAGTGACGTGGTTAAATCCATCACTTTTCACCGGGTCCACCGCCTCGGAGGTAAGAAGCCTGGAAGCAATCGGCCGCGGCCGATTGTAGCTAAGTTTGAACATTATAAACAAAAAGAACAAGTTTAAAGCCGAGGTAGAGAACTGCGTGACACGAACTTCAGCATGAACGACCAATTCCCTGCAGAGATTCTGAGTAGAAGGCGCGTCCTGTTCCCTATTAGAAAGAAAAATATAAACGAGGGCAGAAGAGCTGCGGTGGCGGTGGACAAACTGTATATCAATGGTCAGCTGTTTAGAGATCCAGAGGTTACTCCCTGGCTCTATTAATAATATAAATAAGGTAAGTATGATCTTCAGTTGCTAATTTTACTTAAAATGTATTAGCAAGCATATATATTCATATTACTTACCAGATATATATGTAATTTTTCAGCACAGCTCGGTTGGTGGGTTACACAGATGGTGGTGGTACACGGTGGCATGACACTTAATGTGGTAAGGGGGTTCTTTTTTTATTTTCTCTTCTTTTATCTTTACGTGTTTATTATCATTTCACTTTCTTTTTTTTGTCTCTATTTTTCTGACTCAACAATTATTAGCACACAGGCACAAAGGCTTATATATATCCATATACATACATACAAATACCTCATAAAGGAATACATCCATGATTTACCTTCAAAAACAGCACTTAGTTTATCTATAAATCATAAATAATCAATCATTAAGGATTATGTTATTGTCTGGGTGTTTTACTATTTTTGATATTTGTGATAATGGGTGTGGTTTAATTATATTTTCACAAGCACAAATATGGGTATCTTAAGGTTTGTCACATGGAATATTAATGGAGCCGGTAGCCAACATAAAAAAAATAGAATCTTTAGCCAGATTAAAAGATTAAAGGCAGATGTTGTATTACTCCAAGAGATTCATAAATTACCGTCAACTGTGGATGAGCTAAAATCTGCTGAGTTTCCTGATGTATTTTCAGCCTGCTATAACTCAAGACAGAGAGGAGTAGCAATATTAATACATAAAAATGTGAACTTCACAATATTAGACACAGTTATAGACCCGCAAGGTAGATATATAATATTAAAATTATCCATACTCAGTCAAAAATATTGTATTGTTAGTTTATATGGGCCAAATGTGGACGATGCTGCTTTTTTCCATGATCTCTTCTCTACTCTATCAAATCACATGGATTGCTCGCTGGTACTGGGAGGTGATCTTAACTTTGGTCTAGATAACAAAATAGACAGGCTGAATGCAGTAGGAGCTCAACGCAGTTGGCAATCCATAAATGTAGTTAAACAGTACATGAGTGATTATGGACTCTGCGATGCATGGCGGTCTCTTCACCCTAATAGTAAAGAGTATTCTTTCTTTTCACATGTGCATCACTCTTACTCTCGTCTGGATTATTTTATAATCAGCAACTCATTGCTGACCAACATTTCAGACACTAAGATACACCCTATTGCTGTCAGCGATCATGCACCAGTTACTTTAAATTTAGATAAGAAAGAAATCCCAAAAAGTATAAACTGGAGATTAAATACCTCACTGCTTATGGATGAAGAATTTATACAATACTTTAAAAATGAATGGACATCGTATTTAGAGTTTAATGACTTGCCAGGTACATCAGCGTGTACACTCTGGGAGGCTGGGAAAACAGTTATGAGAGGGAAAATAATATCCTACGCAACAAACAAAAAGAAAAAAGAAAATAAACGTATTGAGGATTTAGAGAAATCTATCAAATTATTAGAAAGTTTACAAGGAGAGGAAACACAGAAAAAACTACGCAAGATAAAATTAGAACTAAATGAATGTATTGACAAAAAAAACAAATTCTTAGTACAAAGACTTCGCTTGGAACATTTTGAACACAGTAATGAATCCGGTAGCTTTTTAGCTAATCAACTCAAATTAAATAAAGAAAAAACGTCTATATATGGTATTAAAGACACAAATGGTAACATAACTTATGACGAGCAAAAAGTAAATAGTGTTTTTAGAGATTTCTATAAAACTCTATACACTCCACAAATAAATCCGACAGATGAAGATATTAATCAATTCTTGGAGAGAGTAATACTTCCAAAACTAGACAGTAGTCAATCTTCAGAACTAGACTCACCATTAACATCAGATGAGCTCCGTGAAGCCATTAAAAACATGCCTAATAAGAAATCTCCAGGCCCAGATGGATATCCAGCAGAATTTTATAAAGAGTTCTGGAACATCCTGGAACCAATATTTCACAGAATGCTACTTGAGTCTGAAGAAAATGGCAGATTTCCAACACATATGAATTCAGCCAACATTAGTTTACTATTAAAACCAGGCAAAGACCCAGTACTACCTACCAGTTATCGCCCCATCTCTCTTATTAATGTGGATGTTAAAATAATTA